CATCTCTCTCGCGGTTACACCGCCATTTCATCTCTCTCGCGCCATTTCATCTCAAAAACATTTCAAAAAAAAACTTTCTATCTTTTTATCCGGACTTGAAGTCCAGTCAATCTTGTCCGGATAACAAGTCCGGTCAACCTTAACACCTGAAATTAACATCTTTGTCCGGATTACAAATCCGGAGAATACTTCACTTATAATGTTAACCGGTTTAAAGTAAACCGGACGATACATTGCCCAACCTTTGTCTGGTTTAAAACAATCCAGTCAATACACCGCACAACACTTGACCGGTTTAGACTAATATCCGGTCACCTCTTACACGGTTTAAGATAAACCCGGTTGATACTTGAAAAGTTATTTGTCTGAATAACAATCTGGGCATCACTTAAACGGTTTGCATAAATTGATACAGAATTCATAATAACCAGTTCCAAATTCTACCAAATTGTATATAAACACTTTATACTCAAAGCTTTAATACACTCACCTTTTAGAAATCGAGTATCTAAGCTTTTGAATCCCCTTCTTTAGCAATCCTTCTGATTTTTCAGAGAAAAACCTTCTAAATATAGTATGTGTATATCCTTTACTTCCCAAAATTCTATATATATCTAAGAAAAAGGAGGGGAGGTGGTGGGCGGCTCAACCAGCCGACCTTCCCTTTTTTCTTAATTTAAAATAAAATTTAAATTAACCCTTATAAATATAACACACATACATACATACCCATATATATATATATATATATATAAACTTGAAATAACAACCAGAATATTACATATACCTAGCATACTCATCAACAATGACAAGTGTGAACTTCTTTCCAGCTAGGGATTGCACGTTGACTGGACCAAAGAGATCCATGTGCAATTGCTGAAGAGGTGCAGTCACTGAAGAGATTTGCTTCGACTTAAAGCTAGCTCTTGTGTGTTTTCCTTTTTCACAGGCTGAGCAAAGAGATTCCTTTGCAAACGAGTGTTGAGGAAGACCTGTGACAAGATCATTTCTTGACAGCTCACTGAGTGTCTTGAAGTTCAAATGAGATAGTCGTTTGTGCCATAACCAGTTAATATCTGATGAGACCTTAGAGAAGAATCAACTATTCTCAGTGAGAGGAGAATTCATGTTGATGATATAAACATTCTCTAGACGAGAGCCGGTTAGAGCAACCTTATCATCTTTGTCGAGAACATGACAAGAATTCTTTGAGAATTTAACTGTATAATCTTTATCACACAGTTGGCTGATGCTAAGAAGATTGTGCTTCAGTCCTTCAACGTATGCAACGCGTTTGAAAGTTGTTGTACCGTTGGATAATATACCAAAGCCTTTGGTATATCCTTTTCCATTTCCACCGAAGGTTACGGAAGGTCATCTTTCTTCCTTGAAGTGAGATAGAAGAGATATATCTCCAGTCATATGTCTTCAACAGCCACTGTCTAGATATCATATGCCTTTGACATCCTGAGCAAGGAAACAAAATAAGAATTGCTATTGGTACCCAGCTATTGGGGTCCAGCTTTGTTAGAGGCTTCATCATCTGATCTTCATGAATCAGTATCAGTAGATGGCATCATTAAACCTGAAGAGGTTTGAATGGAAAGAGGAACAACCCTTGATACTACTAAAGTAGTTTCAGTGGAAGTCTTCACTGAGTCTGAAGAAAAGACTTTAGTGGTAGGGATTACAATGTCTGATGATGAAGACTTTTCAGCAGGAGTTTTCTTTGCTGAGCCTGAAGGAAAGGCGTCAACGGTTTTCTTCACCTTGACTGCTGGAGCAGCCTTTGTGGATGATTTCACCTTAGTTGATTTCTCAGCTGTGGTTACTTTCTTGCCCTTAGATGGTGAACCAGCTTTGGCGGCAGAATGTTATGAAATACCTTTTACCTCATCGGGTAAGTATTCCATTTAATTCACAAATATCAGAATGAATTAATTCTAAAATTGATGTGTCCCTTTTATCAGAAGGAAAAGGTTTCTTTGTAAACTTTGATTTTACACAAGTTTCACATTTTCCAAAGTCTTTGTTATCAATTTTGATTAAACCTTTGTTATGCATCTTTTCAATATTTTTCACATTTGTATGCGCAAGACATTTATGCCATAAAGAAATAGAACAAACAGAATAATCCAAAGAAGCAAATTTATCAAAATCGTTCGGGATTACATCACTTTCAACCATAGAAACTGAAAAATTTGTATCACTATCAAACGTGGCTAACACATTACTTCCTACCGATTCACTCGTTCCGCCCTCCTCACAACCATCTTCACTCAGATTAAGGCGATACATACCCAACTGGTTGTATCCCTTTTCAATAAAGATCTTCCTCTTGTAGATCACGACCTTCCTAGCCTCTATATTTATTCCAAACCCGTTTTCATCGAGTTTGCTTGCAGAGACTAAGTTCTTGTTAATGGAACGCACGTAAAGAACATTTCAGAGAATGACGGTCTTGCCGGAAGTGAACTTCAGTAGCATGGTACCCATTCCAACGACATCTGCACGGCCGTTGTTCGCAGCTATCACTTGCTTCCCATCTCTAACTGGTCCATATTCAACAAACTTGAACCTGGAGTCACAAACATGAACAGTGGCTCCAGAGGCCAAGTACCAGCCACCTCTTGCTGCCACAATTCTCGTGGCGGCCTCTGAAATCATGTCAATCTCTTCCATGGGGAGATTCGCCACGAGGTGTTAAATCCCCTCAACATAATTAGCAACAGGGGGTCCGGACTTTTGGTCCTTGCACTCACGATCATAATATCCCGTCTCTTCGCAGACGTGACATCTTTCGACCCTCTTAAACTTCTGTCTCGGGTTTGAATGACTCCTGATCTCTTAAAACTCTTCTTTTATGGACCCAAGTTCCACATATTGTTTGGCCCTCCGGCCCTTCCCTTACCCTTGCCTCCAGCCTGCACACTATTGGCATTCATCATAGACTTGCCTCTTCTTTCCCGATTACGTGCCACTTCCTCAATACAAAGGTGTTTTAGTAAATCGTTCAAAGAATAATCTTCGGTTTTATGCATCATTCTTTTTGAAAAATCTTTCCAAGATGGGGTCAGTTTGTCAATCACTGCCCCTACTTGGAAAATTTCAGGGATAGCAATAGAAAGCATTTTTAATTTATTTACTAAAACTTGGAGCTCATGCACTTGCTCCAGAATAGGTTTATCATCAACCATTTGGAATCTCAAATATTGAGACACAAGATATTTGTTGGTGCCATCTTCTTGTGACTTGTATTTGAATTCCAAGGATTTCCACAACTCTCGAGGACACATAATCGGGGAATACAGATCATATAGACGATCTGACAAAGCATTCTTAATGTGTCCACAAACAAGAGTTTCCTCTTCCTTGCGGATCATTCTAAGCTTTTGTAGATCGGCAATTCTTTGAAGGTCCGGTTGTTGTCCTGGTTCAGGGACCGGATCTTCGGGAATGGGAGGGAAGCTTGGGTCCAATGCATAGTAGAGTTTTAACACCATGAGCATAAATTTCACTTTGTCCGCCCAACGAGTGTAACTCGATCCGTCAAACTTGTCCAATTTCATCATGTCTTGATTGAGAATACGATAATTTCCGGTGTCCATTTGATTTAAAACCTTTAAGATTGTTGAGAAAAATAATTCCAATAAGAAAAATGAACACCAAATAAAAATTTAATCTTAATAAAATTTAATTATATTATAGCGAAAAAAAAAAGTTAAACCTTTTTGTATTCAGACCCACCAAAAACCTCAATACGTGCCAGTTCACACAGATTGAATCTGTCTTTCTCGATAGATTCAATGAAAGAAAGGGATAGAAGCAGAGTGTTCACTTAGTGAACGAGAAATTTAAATACAATGCGAAAATTATAAAACCAACCTGTTTAATATATTGTCGATTCGGATGATGAACTGCACGGAAAACCTGTCCTTAAAGGTTTTATACGACCACTCTTAAGAAGTTGTGAGTCTGCTAGTCGCAAAGCCTCAGGATTTAATGCAGTAGGCAATTCGTTTGTAAACAGCAATCACAACGAATATAGAGCAAGGATTTATGTAGAAAAACGGTAGAGAGAAAAGGAGCAGAATTCGTAGGAGAGTAAATATCAGTTTTCTGTGTATATTTTGAGACGACTTCAACCAGTATTTAAATACCGGTTGAAGCCACGAAATGCTCCATGAAAGTCTCACAAATATGCTCCACGAAATCCTCCCATGATCATTATCAAAAAGTGGATAATACCAAGTCAAAGTTTGATTAATTTTTTTGAATTAAACTAATAATTATCCAAATTTAAAAAACTGATAATTATTTCTCCTTAACGAATTTTTTATCGAAAAGATAAGTGCAAAGTGCGCCTCCTCGCGCCACCTTGGCGAATCCCGCGCCCGCGTCCTCGGCCACGGCCACGCGTGTGTGTTGGGCCTTCCACTCAAGACCCCCACCATGAGTCCACCAACATGTTCAAAGCCCACTTCCAGAGATAGCCTTATAAGCTTTTCTAGAAATTAAGTCTCTACCAATGTGGAATGGAAGGTTAACTTCCAACCAACAAATTTCCAACAGTGAGCACTCATCAAGCAAGAAGTTGAGCAAGTATTGAAGATGCCTTCAACGTCCCCCCTCCTAGATGAATCAAAATCTTGTAGATCAAGTCTCTCTCTCTCTTAAAAATATTAAAACCATGCAATTATATAAAAAGATACAATATGGCTTATGCTTTATCGTCGAATTTATGCATTTCCACTATCCTAGTACACTTTTCACTAGCGGCCAAGGTTGTCCAAATTAAGGACATGTAGACCCTGTCATCCTCTCCCTCGATGACACGTGGCATGTACTGTTGCATTGCATTAAATACCTCAAGTATACTAGTGAAGATCTCCTTTTCCCGAGCGTCTAAATGAGATAATATCATGTGTTATTTTGCAAGAGAGAACTGTGTGAGGTTGGCTAAAGATTCTTAAAGTTATCTCGAGTTGTAAAGTTAAAGGTTGTTTTAGATTAGGTTTTTACCTTCTTTTCTTTGTATAGAATTTGATTCATTGATTGATTGTTCTATACAATCAATAAGAGTTTAAAAAGTAAAATATGTTTTTGTATTCAAATCCCCTTCCTTCTACAAACCATAGAAGCCTTGTTACTCGTTCAGGACCAACAACTACACCGGTAACTTTCAAAACTTTTGTTCACGTAGAGGTTTCCACCAACACTACACCATACCTAGCAATCTTCAATCAAACGAAGTTGTCGAGCCATTGAGTAGGACTCTATTAAATAAAACCCAATGTATATTAACAACATTGGTGTTCCTTAAATCTTTTTAGGCCGAAGCATTTCATTCAGTCGTCCACATTATAAACAGGTTACTTCATTTGGCTAATGGGAGAAAGATTCTAGAAGAAGCTTAGAGGGGTAGTGGAAACATATGTTTGAAATACATATGAGTATTTTATCATCTTGTATATATTTAGTTACAAGTCCAGACCAACTAGATTCTAGAGCCACCAAGGGATTCCTACTCGACTATACAGATGGCATTAAAGGTTACCGCATCTAAATCTAAATCCTGTCACCTGAAAGGTGATTCATTCTCAACACATCACGTTCAACAAATCGATCATGTTCAATTCTAATCAAAATCATCAATCCACTTATGAACTGAATATTATCTCTTCTCATTCTCCTACAACTGGCGGTGAAAAGATTATATTCAATTTATTTGTACCTGGATAATATGTCTGCGACATTTCTTTGGGGTCAGAATTTGAAGACGATGTAAGTGCACCGGATACATCAACCTTTTGATCTAGTTTCTACTACTCAGGTAGAATCTTTGAATGATGTTTAGATCAAGGTGATCCAGTTCTAGTTACAGTACCTACGAGGCAGAGCCAAAGAACTATTTTTCCTCTAACATGTATGGTGATTGGGATAACGCAAATGTGAGGTTTACTTATCAGTTTGAGTATGTTTTGCATGATGACCATTTGACTTTTCAAAAGGCGATAAGCCAGAGTGCAAAATGGCTATGAACAAAGCAGGTGGAAATGTAAGTTTGTGTACAAAATCAACACTTGAGAGTTATATAAATTACTGAATTGGTTGTAAATGGGTCTACAAAGTCAAAGATGACAAGGGTGTAAGGATTATTTAGTAGCTAAAGGCTTCTCACAGAGAAAGGTATCTATTAACAATTAGATGTGAAAACATCTTTTTCTACATGGAGATTTAGAAAAAAAACCATCTACATAAAGAAACTATAAGACTTCATCTATGACAACAAGTATGAATGTTTGATTGGATCTGCAAACACAATAAGTCTCTGGATGGACTTAAATTGTCATCTACACAATGGTACAAGTAGTTAGTTATATTTGTTTATGCTCCTGTCAAATTTTGAGTAAAACATGCTTATGTTTATAACAGATCAAGTGGTGGCATCTACCACTATCTACTTATTATCGAATTTCCTAAAAATATATAGAAACGTTATCGACCTTCTAGTAGACAAACACTTACCCAAAAGAGATTTAATATACGCAGTAAAAAAAACAATTGAATTTACTAACATTAATACATTTTCTAGGAGATATTTTAAATATATCAAATACTCCAAAGGCAAGTTCTATATGAAGCCTTTCACCTGGCTAGTCTATGGGGTTTGGAAGTGTTTAGTGTAATATGTTGAAGAAAATAAGTAACCAAATGATCAAAAAAAAAGGTGATAAAAACTGTGAGAGTACATATGCGACCTACGCATACAACCTGAGGCATCTCAAAATTCACTATAAAATCATGCCAGCTTTACAGTGGAAGTTGCAAAATATTGTACGATATCGTCCCAAAAATCGAACATGTTGCTAGACAACAAAAATCAACGGCCTCAAGTCAAGAAACCCATGTCCCTCACCTCCCAAAAGTAGAATTGTGAACATAAAGATAAACGACAATGACATAAGACTGAAAATGACTAAATACAGGCTAAAACATAAAGAAGTACGATCCATTTGTAGATCTTTATTCTTAAAGAAAAGAGAATTTGTTTCTTCACATATTTATTTAAAATCATAAACAACAATTTAAATAGACAAATCATATGAACATAATAAGTTACCCACTAGCCTTAGCCGTTGACTTAGTTGTAAAATGCCTCCTCATATGTGGGTTCCTAAAGAGCGCTTGGGGTTGTCGATAATCAATTTTTTGCTCAAATATGTTACATAGACATTATTTTGAGTATATGTCAGATCTAAAGCCCTAGTCTCTTTATATTGCAAAGGTCACCACCCTCGGTAAGGTAAGTAATTTGGTAGGTGCTTACCTGGCTAGCTTTTAATAAACGACTCTTGTTGATTTTAACATGAATTCTTTTTTAGAGAACTTAAAAGAAAAGGTAACATTAAGCAATATTATATAAGATTCATGGTATTTTATAACTCTTTGTACTGTGATGTTCATATTATAATTTAAGATCCACGATCTCAATTGAATTGAAATGTTCTAAAAGGTTCGCTGTAACAACCATCGTGGCATAAGGCTTGCATCCTCAACCTTTGGCATGTCAACGCCTAATGTGGGGGTTTTTGTAACGTAATATTTGAATTTTCTTACACTTTTAATATCGTATTTGTTAGTTTTTAGTATACAACGTGATTTAAATTGTTTAATATCATTGACTCGTTGAGTACTAATAGAAAACATATATATATATATATATACTAGGTTTGATCTCGTGTATTACACGGGGTAATTTGAAAAAATTAAATCATGTCAGAAACTTATCTTACAAATATGAATGATCATCGAAAGTACGATGCTACTTCAGACTTGTACTCTTGAAGTGATTCTGAAAAATAACTCTTAAGAATGACTCTTCAAATTTGAATTTAGAAATGAAACTATATCAATAATTAGTTAAAATGAAATTAACCCTATAATAAAATTAAATTTAGAAATGAAACTATATCAGTAAATTGAATTTAAACCTAGAAGTAAAGTTAGAACGACTTTTCAGACTTGTACTCTTGAAATAACTATTAAGTATAACTCTAAAGAATGACTTCAGACTTGTATTTGTACTCTTGAAATAACTCTAAAGTAAAACTCTTCAGACTTCAGAGCTCTGTATAATCAAGAAAAGTCAATTTTTGTCGATGTCCGCCACAAATCCCCCACAAATCCGTCACTGAATTTAAAAATAAAATAAATTTTTATTTCTACAACTTTCCCGATGGATTTGTAACGGATTTTTTTACTTATTTTATACTGTCACAAATCCGTTGGAAATCCGTCAGAAAATTGGTCTAATTTATTTAAATAAATAAATTAGCGTTAATTAAATTAAAATTTACGACGGATTTTAATTGATTTTTATATTTAATTATACTCCGTCGAAAATGTTTAAGAATGCTTTTTTTATTCTTTTCCCTTCCAAAAAAATGTGTTCAAAAAAAATCTTACGGATTGTAATTATCTAATAAAAAGTTATATTCCGTCGGAATTTATTTAAAAAATATATATGTTTTATAAGAAAATATAAAAAACTTTTTTTAATAAATTCCGACGGAATATCATTTTTTATTATAAAAGTTATTATTCGTCGGAAATTTTGAACTTCTTTTAAATATATATTTTTGGAAAGAAAAAAATATAAATAAAACTTCTTTGAACATTACCGACAGATTTCAGACGGAATTTGCATTTAGCGGCGGGGGTTTTTCCGACGCCAATATCCGTCGGATAGTTGTTTTTCCTACGGATTTCTGACGAATTTTGCCGTCGGAAAAACCACATTTTTTAATAGTGATCAATTAAATGGGTATAATTGAACTGCTAATGTAAATTGTGTTTAGATACGTTCAAATGAGTCTAATTGAACCACTAATGTAAATTGTGTCTAGATACGTGTTCAGGCGGGAAAACAAGAAAACCACCTCACCAGAAGATGACACGTGTCACCAAGTTACTTATTTATTATAAGTATAGATATATAAATATGAGGTTCACGGGAAAAGCGCAAAAAAGTGAAAAACTAAGGAACGGTCTACTAACCACCAATGAGTTGTAAGCCAACGATTTAAAAAAAAAATATCAAAGTTAACAGTTTATCAAATAAAAAAGGGCAAAATGGTACATTTCGTTAATGTATAATTATTTCCAATTATTAAAATCCCATAAATAAAAGAAAGTTACCACAATTTATGGAAACATCATCTATTATAAGAAAAATCTACACAAAAATATTTCAACAATCTACAAAAAAAATATTTAATAACCGATTATTTCATTCAATTTATGTGTTACATGCACATGTGTATGAATCAATGTATTTATTGTCTTTCGATTTTTGGGTCGCATGCACCAGTGAATAAATCTCTGTATTCATATTCTTTCAATTTATATGTTGTATGCACATGTCAATGAGTCGTTCTATTTACCTTCATTCGTTTTTTGGTTATATGTGATTGAGTCATCATGTTCACCGTTCTTCATTTTTTGGGTTGTATGCACATGTGAATCAATCACGATGCTCTCTTTCCTTTCAGTTTTCAAGGTTGAATGCACTTATGAATGAGACACCATATTCATCATATTCATGTGTGCGTAAAACCCAGAAAAGACCTAAGTAGAGAGAGAGATGAATATGAAAGCTTGAATTCCTCTTATGTATTCGCATGTGCAAAAACCAAAGAACCATACTAAAAAGACGAGGGCTTCAATTCCTCCTTATATTCACATGTGCATAAACTCCAAAAACATAGATTTTCAAAGATGAATGATTGAAATCCAATTTCAGCATCAGAAAACATAGATGATGAACATGTGTTGCATGCACATGTGCATATAACCAGGAACATCTAATTACAGCATCCCTTTCACCATTAAACTCTAACTTCAGCCTTCCTAGCTACACCCCTTTCTCTAGCACCACCGCCATTTCTTCTTATGTGGCCTCCATCCCAACTAAGGCAACTACTGCAACATCTTCTTCTACATTTGAGCCTTTTGTGCTCTGAAAATTTAGGGTCCATCTCTATTTTTGAGAGAGAGAGAGAGAGAGAGAGAGAGGAGGTTAGAGTTAATAGTGATAAAAGTGGAAGATAACTTTCTGAATTATTGAATTTTAAATAATAAAAGAATAATAATGTTTTTTTTTCAATTAGGCCCTCCAATCTAATTTTAAACCCTTGCTTAACTGACCTTACCTTCCCTTTTATTTACATATATGTCATTTCATTGTAGTTCTTTGATTTTTCTGATCTAAATTAAGACTTAACATGGCATGAGACACAAGTCTTATGTCACGATAGCTATTACAACAAACCTTTTAAAACACTTCAATTCAATTGAGATCTTGGATCTTAAAATATAATACATCATAGTACAAAGAGTTATAAAATACCATGAATCATATATAATATTGCTCAATGTTACTTTTTATTTTTAAATTCTCTCAAAAAGAACTCATATTGAAATCTAGGGGTCGTTTATGAAAATCTAAGCGGGTAAGTACCTACCAAGTTACTTACCTTACCCAGTAAGTGAGGGTCATGACTCATACCCAATTACCGATAATCGGGTAAGAGGCGCTTAAATTTGTTATGCCATTTTAATGACTGGAATCTTACCTGATACAGTAAATAAGGATGATGACTCTAAACGCTTACCCAATTAATGTTGATAAATGGCCCATCACTCTATCTTGGTTATTGAAAGTGATCAAGATTGGTGTTGGTCCCTATGCCCATCCAATGTAAGGGCTGAAAATGTGGCTATAGAAAGCCTCTCCTTCTCTAAGTTCATAATTGATCTATGTTGGATGCTTTTATAAAATTTCATTTTGTCACCATCTAAAAGTGAATAAACTTTAAAAGGTTAACAAGTACTACAATAAGATTGATTACCTTAGAATTTATATTTCAAAGAACAATTGTAAGCAAGTGATAACATCACTTTCTATGATCTTTGTAAAATATTAAACAAATATTTCTTCGCTTAAAACCATACGAAACAATGAAATAAGATAAAATCAAAAGCGATAGAAAATATAGCCAAACAAGAACTTAAGAGTTCGAGTTATCAGCTTCAGAATCGCTCTACATTGCACAGGTACACTTCTACCTTATCAGTATTTGTTAAAAAAAGTTGTGCTAAATCTTTTTACAAGTCAGACTTCAAGTAGTTTTATCCTTTGAGGTAGATAACAAATCTCTTAACACCTTCGGCTCCAACCCTACTTTCAATTGTGATATATTGAATTCGTTTGGTTTAGTTTTGTTATTGGGCATGAACCTAGAACAACTTGTTACTTTACTTTTCTTGGGTATATTTATCAAGCGATTATTTTGAAGTAAATTGGGTTAAATATTTATCTTTAGCACGTCATGGTGCTCTAAATGTAACGTTTTTTCAAAGCTAGATGCTCGAGAATTTGACAAACTTTTAAGCTCAAATGGTGGTGATGAAGATTGATCTTGAGTTGATTAGATTGGGTGATGTGCAAGTGGACAATAATCGTAGGACAATAAATAATAACATTGTGTAGGATGTTATGAGAATTAGAGGTGCTCATAGGTTAGGTTTATCGGGTTGAAGACATTTGAAGAACCTAATTTAATATTTATGGTTTGAAAATTTTCAACCCAACCTAACTCAAACCTAACGGGTTGGTCAGGTTGATACTTTGGTACATCAAAATATTCTCATAACCTTAAATATGTTGTTTTCCCTATTCTACTCGTAATTTCTTTTTCATCATCAATCATTTTTACAACTTATCCATACTTCTTAAATTTAAGTATAGCACATTCAATTAATTTTCTCAATTTGCATATATATATATATATATATATATATATATACTAGTTGTGTACCTGCGCAATGCAGCGGGAGCCGTGAATTTTAACGATTTTAAAGTTTTACTGGTTTTATTAGATAAGATTTAATGATGATATAAGTTACAGTTGCTTTTTACATATTAATACAATTTGAATAAATAAGAGTTATGATTCCAATTACAGTCTATCGATGAAAAAAATTATATGACAATTTAAAATCCAATATATTTAAAATCCATCATACTTAAACGACTCCATAAATGTGTTCGATTTACACCAAGAGCAAATAATGAAGGTATGAGTGAAAGGACATAAATATAAACTAATATCAGCAAGAGCAACAAGAGCAGCACCAGCACTGGGACCATAACCAGATACAATATTTAGCACACCAAGAGGAAGTCCTGCCTGTTGAATGCATACAACATAGAATTAAGGTTATCCTTCAAAATGTAAAAAAAGAGAGAGACAGAGAGAAGCGAAGGAAGTTGAGCAAATTTGAGTGTTACAAATCTTTATATTACCTCAAGGAAAAGCTTTGAAACATAGAGGGCAGATAATGGTGTCTGTTCAACAGTTTTAAGTACTACAGTGTTACCACAAGCCAATGCAGGCCCAACCTTCCAAGCATACATCAGAAGAGGGAAGTTCCATGGTATAATTTGCCCTGCAACACCAATGGGTTCATGCAGCGTCTGGACATGATGCGGACCGTCAGCCTGAATTGTGAGGCCATGGATTTTGTCGGCCCAGCCTATGAAATGGTAACAACAACACCAAGATGGTCAACTCTTTTTAAAGGAAAAGGTATAAATGAACTCAAAGACATAAAGAKTATCATTTAGAATGAACTTSGGGCTAAGTAGTGATCTTATTAAGCTAAAATTTTGTATATAAGTGAGATCATTGGGGTTCATTGTAATCATTAATATACTTAGTAGTCAATTTTTTTACTTATAAGTTATAATCATTTGGAGGTAATTTATATAATTAAATTTAGTTCCCCCTTGACCAATATTTCTGCATCCACCACTACTTACCAGCATAATACCGGAAAAGAYGAATGAGCAGGGGTATTTCATCTGYTGCTGCCTGATCATATGGCTTCCCATTATCCCAAACTTTAAGAGCTGTTATTTCATCAGCATGCTTCTCAAGCAAATCAGCAAAGCGCAACATTATTCTAGATCTTTCCTGGTGACATATATGAAAAATGAATAAGATGCTGATACTACCACTTAATTTGTTGGCTCTTTCTGACGGAAGGATATCATTGATTTCTCACCATTTAACCTCCTTCAGCCCCACACCGAAGTACAAAAATGTCTGGTCAGCAGCACCATCTTTGTAGTAAGCGAACACTGTTGTACTGTCATCATGCATGCTCTCCYCAACAAAACTGCATAACCACCGATGTTTCCACAAAATCAGTACAAATATATGGAAGAAACATTCAACATTACCATTAAAATTGACCAAGTGACAGTCATTGTAGGAGTTCTAACCTCATCAAAGGTAAAAAGTGTAAGTGATCATTTCTTGTATATGAATATTATATACTTCAAAAAATGGACCTAAGTGCACATTCTTCACCTTCAAGCTAAAAGTCTAATAAAAATAAAGCGAAGACCAAGTCTAATAGTAACATTGGTCATTGTGGTCATTGTCACTTACACTTACATTGCTGATTGAATGTCAAGTTGAAAGACTTGATGGTTGAGCAAATATGTACAAACCTTACCATGCACTTCTTTGGCCAAGATAAATGTTGAAAATATGTTCTACTTTCATCTACTTTAAAAGAGCCCTAAATAAGTCAGGAATCTTGTGGATGGAGAAAGAAAAAACAAGGTCTAACAAGATCCTTCTTTGGGTAACCACTTCCAATCACTGCTCTACACTCGTAACTACAGAAAGATTATTGTAATAATACTTTCTACTTTTTTGTTTCTCAAGTAGTATGATAATTAGAACCTAATCCTAATTCCCCAATTCACAAATAAAGATCTAGCCTTTTTTCATGTAATACGGCCAGCCGACAGAATGACAAACAAAAAAGGCTTCCATTCATATGCAAAGAAACGGATGAACAAGAGACTTACAACTGAAAGTCACTGAGCTTTGAGAGGAGGTACTTGGTTGCTGCCTCAATGTTTTCCTTAAAGAACTCTTGCTTCTCTGCATCAAGCTTGGGAGTAAGCTGTTTGGTGTACCTCTTGATGTAAGTAACAAACTGCTTCTTGTCGAAAGGAGGTTGCTCCTACACATCATGTGTTTTCAAATGGTCAAATAAATGGAATTCTCAAAGTTTATTAGGATGCCATAATACTTTTTACCTGGAGTCTAAAGGTATCAACAATGTCGACGTCCTTCACTGCTTGATCATCAACACCCTCGTCTTCATCACCTCCTTCAGCAGAAGGGTTCGCACCAATGTTAACATCCACTGCTCCTTGTACCACCCACTGCAGACAGGAGTTTTCATATTACAAGTTAGTAACATGTGATTAATCTATAGTTTACTCACAACTTCCACATCAAAGATCTACAAAATGAATGATGGTACAAAATGAAAATGCCAGAAATTCGAAGACCATAACCCTAATTATTGAACAAGAATACCGCATCCAAAGTCTCAAAGATATCCATATACATAATAAATGGACTAATGTTGGAATTACCTGCTTGAAAATGGTACTTGTACCAGATCCCTCCAATTGGCTTCAATTCTCTGTTTCTTTTCATCATTTCTTTCTTTTCTTTTACCATTCTACAACCAATCAAGAACCATAGAACCTTAGAACATGATGTCAATTGGACATTTTCCTGAACTTCGTATACGTGGTGGCA